TTGAGCCAGGTTCCTAGTACGGGAGAGTTTAGGCGAGCTCCACTTCTTGGGCCAGGTTCCCGGTTATGGCGAACCGCTCAAAACAGGCGAGACTAGCAGTTCAGGTGGGCTGCATCAAACTCCCACTTGGTCAAACCTTCAGATAGTTAGGACCAAAGCCACAATCCCCCGCCAATCCTCTTCAATAGGATGGCGGGACCCCCACTGTCATGTTAACGGTCACCTCTGACGAATCAACTTACCAGTCCTCTTCAATAGGATGGTAGGTTCATAGAGTTGTTCAAATCGTAATAAACTCCCACTGTCATGTTAACACTACACCTCTGACAAAATCAACTTACCAATCCTCTTCAAAAGGATGGTAGGTCCTCAAAGTCGCTCCGATCGCGGCAATTCCTATCACGTTAACGATTACCTCTGATAGCCGACACCGTCATTCCCGCAAATGACGTTGTCCGATCAGTCGTCATACTCATACGTCCCTGAACGATTTGATTCTCCCAGCACCGTCTTTCCCATAAAAGGCGTTGTTGTTTGATAGTGGCCTACTATGCGATGTGCTGCTACTTCAGGGTTCGTCTTTGCCCCAAGAGAAGACAAATTAGGGTTCGTCTTTATCTTTGCCCTAAGAGAAGATAAGCTTCCACCCTCTACTCCAACTGGTGCATGAGTCTAAACTGCCCCCTTATACTCCAACTGGTGCATGAGTCTAAACTGCCGCTTATACTCCCACTAGTGCAAGAGTATAAACTGCTCCTTTCCTCCGACCGGTGCATGAATCTAAACTGCTCCTACCCTCCGACTGGTATACGAGGTTAAACTGCTCCCTTAATCCAAACACCTTGAAAGGCTAAGGATAGAGGAGAAATTTTAGCATTAAGCCTAAGAGAAACTCCTCGACAACTTACCATGCTAAGGGCAAGAGCATGGCTAGTCCAACTCAAACGGCAGTTGGTAAAGACGAATCAAGTCCGTTGATAGCTGAGGGTTTGCTCAAAATCCTAGAAGGCGATCATCAGCTGCGAGTGAAGATATCAACTTCACCGAGCTCGTTGAAGGGCTCCTCACTCCATCTGAGCAGGGATCACTTTACAGGTCTTCATATCCAAAGTGTTCCAGACCTCATGCGGCCTGATTCAGGTCTGAAAACTTTGGAGGGGGTTTTGTAGGCAATAAAAATTGCCTTTAAATCCTTATCAGAGAAGTTCAGAACAAAACTGCTAAAACCTCGCCCGAAATAGCAGAAAAAGGGGAAAACACAGATATCTCTCAAACCGTAAGGAATTTGGCGAAACGGAGGAAGCGAACCGAAGCCTTTGGCTCGGTTCGGATGGTCCCATCTCGTCGAGATAGGTGATTTTCCATATATAATTCGTCAAATTCCGACTTACGGTTTGAAAGTTACGGCCTATTCTTCGATCCATGCTCAGGAGCTCGCCTGCAGCTCGAATTTCGCCTGCACGATCAAGACCCAAGTCTGCCTGCAGTCCCAAACTCGCCTGCAGACCCAGTTCGCCTGCAAGCTCGCCTGCAGACCCAAGTCTGCCTGCAGTCCCAAACTCGCCTGCAGACTCAGCTCACCTACAAGCTCGCCTGCAGACCCAAGTCTGCCTGCAGTCCTAAGCTCGCCTGCAGACCCAAGCTGCAGACTCGCCAGCTCACTGTCAACTACCTACTTGGAGTATGGGAATAGTTACATCAGTGGTCAAAGCCCGCAAATCAAGGGAGAGGGCATAGTACCCCAAGACCGTCAAGCGGCCGTCCACAGTACAAATGAATGGACAGGCGCCGAAACAGCCTGCACCCTCATGAATGCAGCTCACCTCACTTGTCCAAGCAGAAGGGAGGGCCGCCGGCGCTCAGTGAGTTGGCCATATCCACTCGAGGGGGCTTTCCCATTCCTAAGTGACGTGATGTAAAACATGGCCCCTCGAATGACCGCTCCTGTTGCAGGTGAACAGCAGGATATCTCTGAACGACGTGTGGTCACATCCCATAATTCAAGGAGCAGTCAAGCTGTCTCCCTCACGTGGTCAAATCCCATGAATCAAGGGATAGCCTATGTCATCCCTTGCCTATTAAAACCCATCTTCAGCCAGCATGAAAGGGGGGATTGGTTGTTGCATATTCTGCTGGCTAATCTCCCAAAGGTTGAACCTGGACCTTTGCCAAAGGCTCACTCATTTGAGAACTAAAGCTCCGGCAGTGACTTCGATCGGATCGTCCAAGGGAAGCAGACTCGGCACGAGCACCGAGCGAGGCGTCCTATCGCCACCGAGGAACCCACATTAAACAAGGAGGGCATTCCCTCAGCTTCTGTTGTAAACATTTGATTATTAGTTTGTAATAAGCCTTCTTATCAATACAAACGAAGTTCCCTATTTTCGGGAGATCAAAATTTACACCTACAATCTACAGATTTGTAATCAGGCACTGATGGCTTAGCAGGCCTAGAGGATCATTCAGGACCCTTCTTCTCTGGCTAGTACGGTTTTGAAGGGGAAGCACTTTAGGGACTCAGAGTTTCTTTCAGCTGGTGCCGGCCTTGGCTGTTCTTATTTATGACGGAGCATTATCTAGGGGCATAAGCTCCTGGACTGAGGTCTGAGATGGGAGATAGGTGATGTCCATAGTGTCTCATCAGTGCTGACCCATAGATCCAAAGACCCTTTTCTTTCAGGCCAATCACTTCTCCAATCGACTCATCGAGGAGGGTGGTTGAGCTGATCTCTACTTCGGGTACTTAGAATCACGATTTGATTGTTAATTCCTTTTGGCAGGTGGATCGGGAGGACATTTCACTCATCCCACTATCTCCTTCTCCTGTCCCTGACAGACTCATTTGGCATTATGAGGAGAAGGGGTGTTACACAGTTAAGAGTGGGTACCGACTTCTTCGTCACACTATGTCTGATGCTACTTCCACCTCGGATTCTAAGGTGGTGAAGTGGTGGTCCTTGATCTGGCAGGCGGCGATCCCACCGAAGATTAGAGTATTCCTTTGGCGCATGTTCTATGATGCTCTCCCCACCTCAGCTGGTTTATCTCGTAGGGGGATCTTTGTGTCCCCTAGTTGATGCCTTTGTTATGTTGCCTTTGAGACTGCCCTTCATATCTTCACTGTCTGCTCCTTTGCTCGTTTGGTGTGGGAGTTCTTAGATCTTTGGGAAGTGATTGATGACTTTTGAGGTATGTCTTGTGGTGATTTTTTACCATCTCACCTCTGTTTGCCCTATGGACTCTCTAGCTTTGGCTTTCACGACCCTATGGTTTATATGGGGGGAAAGGAATATGCGCTCTCATGGTGATTTTCTTTCCCATCGCCCTCTGCATCTTCTCTCTCGTCGATCTATAATATAGTATATTAATTATTATAATTATATATATATATTATATTATATATAATATATATATAGTACAGTATATACTAATATATAAGTAATATATAATACCATATTAACTATATATTTATAATATATAAATGTTCCTAAGGTGAGAAGCTTGTACGATTCCAACCTAAGCAATTAAATCCACATCATTCGCTAATTTTTTTATGATACCGCTTAGCGTTGAAAACGTGATCTACACGTTCTTAAATCCAAACACATCCAATTTTGCGGGTGAACCCGTGTGTTTTACGCCGCTTCGTATGAGCGTGCAAAAAGTTGTATTCATGGTAGAAACGTTAATTTGCGGTAGTGATGAGGTCAAAAACGACGGATCTTCACCCTAAAAATTAGAGTGTTTGAGTTGAAGAGACAGTGTAGAATAGTTCACACGTGAGGGAGCGGCAAAAAGAAAGGATATGTTATACGAACCACGTCCTTAGGTGGCATCTAAGGTGTCATCTAGAAAAGAATTTTATATATATATATATATATATTTATATATATTATATATTTATAAAGTATATTATGAGGAGAGAGAGAGAGAGAGAGAGAGAGAAGAAGAAGAGAAGAGAGAATATGGTAGTGCTTGGTACAGAAAGACACAAATTTTGTGTTGTAGTGAGTGTCCTCCCATCCAATCACTACCATAAATTTGTTCAGCGACCACCGGCCCCTTGAATGATGTGAGGGGGATTTGACACCTACTAACCAGCACAACTTTGTGTGCTTAGGTACAAAGGCATACCACTATTTCTCATATATATTATAAAATATATATTAATATAGTATAATATATACTAGTATATATATATGAGTATACTATATATATATATAATCTTTACTATTAATGATATTATTAGTAAAAATGTTAAATGTATATATAATATGTTGTATTATAATTAATACAACGTACTAATATCAAGTTGTTTAGAACATCATATAATATCTTATAATAATATTACACTATATTGTAATACATCATATTATATTATAATAAATATGATATTATACTACAATATAATTCATTATAATATATTATATTTATGTTTGATGATGTGAATTATTTAATCATTTTATGTTTTAGCTAATATTTATTATTTAATTATTTTTTATATATTATTACACATCTAATGTGAATAACACATATATTAGTAGCTAATATATGAATGTTCAAAATTATCCAACTTGTCTAAAATTGTCCCAGTATGAGAGGTGGGGTAAACTTTGACTTGGGGGCAAACATTTATATATATGTGTGGGAAGTTTTATCCCACTAATATTCTAAAAACTCAATAACACCAAAAATTATTGTCCTAATTCCATTATCCCAACCAATAACATCAGAAAATATTATCTCCCAATTTATCTCAATTATCGCCGTATTACACCAACTAATAAACCCCAGCTAATTTTCCAGCACAACTTGAGCCCCTAATTTCAGCGTCCAAACTGGCCCAACGTTGTCAGCCCAAAAGTCCAAGTCCAATATCCTTACAAAAAACCCAAACCCCAATTTCTCGCCTCCCCCTTTTTCCCCCCAAACAAAAACCCTAACCCTGATCGCCGCCGTCCTCCATGGCCTGCACCCTTGACTTCCGCCGGCTCGATGAAGGCGAAGGAGAATGTGCTCAAGTCTGGGACGAAGCTGCAGAAGATTACGAACCCGAAGACGCTGAAGAAGATTGCGAAGTCGAAGGAGAGGAAGCTGCTGAAGGTCGTGCCGGATGATGTGGTTAATGGTGGGAGCAAGAAGGGGATGAAGACGAAGAAGTAAGCATGGGATGTATTTCTTGGTGAACAACTGTAAGAGATCTCTTCTGTTCTAAAGTTTCAATTTTGTTATCTGGGTTATGGAAGTAAGCTTGAATTGAGGTTTTATTTTCTGGTAATTGATGTTTAGGTTGTTGTTTTCAGTATAAAAGTTTTCATTTTGTCATGTGATATCAGTGAAATGCTTGATTATTCTAATTATGCCTAGTTCTTATATTGATTAAATAGGAAAACGTTGTTCAAATATTAGGGTGTGTTTGGTAATCGAGGTGTTTGTTTTTGTTGTGTTTTTTTAAAAAAACATCATGCCATGGTGCTTTTTTTTCAAATATGTTTTAAAAACACCATTTTTAGTTATTATTTATAAAGTGACGGTCGGCGACGCAGGCGTGGCAGCGACGGGCGTGGCGGACGTACAACCTTCGGCGTTCGGGCGGACGGGCGGCGGCGGGTCGGGCGGAGACGTGGCGGGCGCGGGCAGACGAAACGTCGGCGGTGGTGGCTGGGCGACGTGCGTGATGGCGGCTGCGGTTTGGCAGACCCACCGGCAACGGTGCGGCGTGTGTGGTAGACCACTCGGCACCGGGCGGCGACGGGCGGGCGGCGCGGCGGGCGGCAGTCGGATACGCAGTGGCGGCGGCGACTTAGATGAAAAAACAGAATCTCAAAACACATTTTTGATGTTTTGAGAAAAGCGTTTACTTTTTGGATTTTGTAAAGGGTCAAGTCAAAAAAACGCCCGGTTACCAAATGCATTTTATTGTTTTTGTTGAAAACAACAGTAAAAACTTCACGGTTGCCAAATGCTCCCTAAGTGCTTCTTTTTATATTGGAGGTCTGATTTATGTTATGTGCTCTGCTGAGAAAGCACCCCAATCAATGTTTATTTGGAAATTTTAGTCTAAAGGTTTCATTTTTCCATCTGGGTTGCTGTTGTTTTGGAATTGAACTACGAGATGGATATAGGTTTTGGAATTGTTTTATTGTGTATATTTTTTTATAGTTGATTTAGAGTTGCGAATGATAATTTTTCATGTTTAGATTATTGAAGATTAACTAACAGTTATTCACTTTTATAGGTTGATTTTGATTCTGATGTTATTTTTGTTTTCAATGTAATCACCTATGTTCTTTCCTGAGGTGAAAATGTGGAAATTGGAATCTTTCTAAATCAGTTAATTACATCCTAAATATCTCGAATGAACTAATACTATCTTATGATCCCTTTTGCTGTAATTATAAGAACGTTACAAAGCTTTCTCCATGTAGCTCTTACTATGGGAGTATAGTGGATTTTTGCGATCGTTTGATGATGCCTTGCATGTAGTACTTGAAGTGATTCTGTGCATCTGGATGAACTTTTCTTTTACTCATGTAAATCAATAGGTATTGTGTTCTCAATTGTTAGGTCTTCTCTCACGCTAGTGTATTTGTTTCTTTTATGTATTTGGTTCTTTTATTACTAACACACTGAATATTGTGGTCTAATTACAATTCCAAGTCACTATTTGATACAATTTTGCAGGGTAGATGGGACAAGCACATTTTTTATGGATTCAGGGTCGCCCGAGAAGGATTTTGTACAATGGTTCGGCGTCAAGGACGTAACGTGTACATTAGATTTGAGCTCGGCACTCCGGAGTTTAAGCTTTATCTTTCCCAATGAATCACTAATGTCAACATTAAATCCTAATTAAGTGTTGTTTTTCATATATACCCTCAAATCTCCCACATTTAGAAAAAAGGCCAAAATTTTAAAATAGATCCTATTAGTATTAGTAATTTTTTTAAAACGACCCTTTTGAGATTTAATTGCCATTTTCAACTCAGTTTTAGCCACCTAGCTGAAATTGGGTTGAAAATGACAAATAAAGTTCGAAAACTTCACATGATTTAAAATCTCGTAAAGTTTAGTGTCTGATTAACCACCGCTAATGAAGCTGCAGAAGTTCGAAAACTTCACGGGATTTAAAATCCCGTGAAGTTTATTACCTAATTAACCATGCTTGGCTGAAACCGGTTGAAAATGGTAATTAAATTTTGAAGGGGTCAATTTTGAGAAATAAATTTCTAATAGGATCTATTTTAAAAATCTGTCCTAAAAGCAGGGGCATCATTTAGCCAATAAAACCCTTAACAGTATCTATTCACTTCCCTTCATGTCTATCTTTTTTCCCCCCTCACTTGGGAGATGTCATCACATTTTCTTTTGTCGCCACTATGTCAACACTATGACAACTTGATGAGCCCACATGACACCAAAAAAAACATCCCCTCCATCTACAAAAAGCAAGAGCTGCCCAAAGAAACAGAACCACATTACTAAATCTCTACCCAATAAACAATCAAACAGAGGGAAATACCCAGAGGAGTGCCAGCTGAGAACACAAACACGTTTTCAGTCGCTTGAAGCTTCATTTGTGTTCTCAGGTCTCCCCTCTGGGTTAACTTCCTCTGCATTACATCCCATCGACACCTTCTCGAGGAGCGTCCGGTCGGGTGCAGTTGGATCTGCGATGCGTTTTCAGTTTTAACAAACGGATGTAACTGGATTTGTATAACCAGGTCCTACTACACCCAACCAAACGCTCCCAACGTGCTGAAGATATCTAAGGTTGGTTCCGGTAAACGCAAACTACGAAGAGGTAATATCGCTATGTTGAAAACTACATTATTTTCCGAAGACTTTATTTTATTTTCCGAGCTATGTGCTGAGTATATTAGCTGATCCACTTGGGCCCGTATCGGATGGAACAAAGAGGAGATAGAAGAAAATTATATTTGCAATAAAAAAAAAAGATAGACTTTTAGTCGAACGAGCAATGTTCTAGTCCCAAGTTTCTTATATTGCTCCCCAACTAACTTGATTTACATAATACAATTCATCTCTTTTAAATAGAGATCTCGAGCCTCAATAGCACTCTAATAAGAGCTACTATATGAATAGGACTCGCTATTTAAATATAGTTCTCTCGTAAAATTTCTATTTTAAACAACACTCAACATGAATAGGACGACAACTCCTAATCAATTGGGACTCCTAATCAAGATAGACTTTGCGTAATTCCGATCCTACAGACTTTTAATCATCATAGGACTCAATACTCCAAGTTGTAATAGGACTCGTGCTTCTAATTACAATAGGACTTGTACTCCTAATTATAATAGGACTCGTACTCCTCTAAATGACAATACCACTTGTACTCCTAGTTATAATAGAACACATACTCCTTATTACAATAGACCTCATATTTCTAATACAAATAGGTCCCAAGCACCCAGTTGTAACAAGACTCGCACTCCTAATTACATGACACTACAAGGTTCTGCAAATTCAGTCTCCTTGCTGGAATAGAAGATCTGCCTGGATCAATACTCTCCTTTTTAAAAATAAGAAACTAGCAGGAGCTCAACCTTGTTGGAATGGAAAATCCTCCTAGATCAATACTCTTTTCATTTTAGAAGAGCAAAGCCGCACCAGATCAGAGTTTCAAGTGGTGGAAATGCAATGTCGGTCTCATCTTCTTCATCGAATATAAAAGTATCGATCTTTGCCTTTGCTTTGAAAGGTTGTACAATCATACAACCAAAACTGGTATAAGCCATTCCTTTCTCTTCTTTTCCTCTATTATATTCATCATCTAAAACTACTGCTTTGTTTAATTTTGCCGATCTAGCATCTCTTGTAGAATCTTTTGTGTTTTGTTTAGAAGAAGAAGGGTTTGAAGAAACCTAAAACACCACCTTTCCGTCACGGTCATTAAAGAATCCATGTGTATCTCCATCCTAGCCATCCGTGATGCAAAATCGTATTCTGCCATTTGTTGAGGTATTTTTTGCTATTGTAACTTGAGCTCTTTATTTGATCTAGCTCCCATGTCATATGATCTTTGTCGAGTTGCGACCATGCATAGTAAACCCTCGCAGTAGGATCTTATTTGCTCTAATACCAATTGATCAACCTAATGTATAGACCTGAGCAAAAGGGAGATAGAAGAGAATTACAACTGCAAGAATAAAAATACAAAGATAGATTTTTGTGGCAGAGAAAGCAATGCTCTACTCCTAAGATTTTATTATATTGCTTATCAACTAAATTGATTTACAAACTAGAATCATATTTTTAAATAGAGATCTCAAATCTAGATAATACTCTAATTAAAGTCACTATATGAATAGGACTTGCTATTTAAATAAAATTCTCTTGCAAATTTTCTATTTAAACAACACCCAATAAGAATAGGACTACAACTCCTAATCAAGTAGGACTCCTTCTAAATCTGTAATTATATACTCCTAATAAAGATAGGACTTTATGTAATTCAGATGATATAGACTTTAATTCATAATAGAATTCAATATTTCAAGCTGACAATAGGACTTATACTCTTACTACAAAAAGGACTAAATACTCCTAGTTATAAAAGGACTCATACTCTAATTACAATAGAACTTGTACTCCTAATACAAAAACGAGTCATGCTCCTAGTTCTAATATGATACAATACTCTAGTTATAATAGAACTTATACTCCCTTATTACAATAGGACTTTTACTCCTAATATAAATAAGACTCAGATTCCTAGTCGTAACAAGACTCACACTCTTAATCATAATAGGACTCTATAAGGCGCTGCAATTTCAATTTCAGTCTCCTTACTGGAATAGAAGATCCTCCTGGACCATTACCTCATTAAATAGGTGTTGGACTTTTTTGTTTTGGTTCCTTGACATAGGGGTTGAGATCACTCTTATGTATGATAGAGATGATAGATCTACGATGCAAGGCTAGAGCGAAGTGAATAGGATTGTGACCTTTTTCATCTAAACGCAGAATATGCAGCAAAATATAGCAAATAAAAGCAATAGATGATATAAAGCGATATAAATATCACAAACGCAACCAACTAAGGAACACACAAAGTTTTGTAGTAGTTTGGATAAACAATCTTGCACCCACTCTTCCTTCTCATGAAAGGACTTTCGCACTATGAAAAGAATTCATCTGGATCACAAACCTAATTTAGTAGGCTTACAAAATCAAAATCTAGTTTTTTTTTCAAAACTAGTCGTCTAACCTAACTCTTAATAGTAAGTAACTCCAAGCGCTAGCTAGTCCTGACCCTCAATCCAACTAGCATGAGTATGCTGTAAAAGAAGTTAAAAGAAATATAAAATCAAATATCAAATAAATGCAGAGTTATAATGATGTTACGACGCTTTCTACAAAATTTGTTGCAATAGTCTTAAATTATCAGTCACCCTCATAATGCATTCACAAGTTTAAATTGATTTTAAGTATGAAGCTTCCAGGTTTGTGTAGATCATATATGCATGATATGCTCCGTTGAACACTGCACTAGGCGTATCCATAGAGTTAAGATTTAACGGAGATCTTTCTGATTTCTCACACAATGAAATCTAATAGCACTGCAAAAGACGCAAAGATTTAAGCTAAGATAACGCAAAGCAATCAACGGTTAATAAAATAAAATAAAACTCCTATTTAATTAGCAAATAATGTATGACTGAGGAATAAATATCAGGCCGGTCCCAGCAGATGAAGGTTTCTACTTAGGAACGTCAGGAGCATGCCTAAGTAAAATAGTTTCAAAAAACATTTTGCACAGTAAAAACAAATTAACATGAAAAAAAAAAGTATTCATTAGTGTTGGCAACCAGTGGTTCTGATCCCCAACCTAAAAGGAGCAAGAACTCGCTTAGTCAAAGCCAAAATATGGAAAGAAAACATCTGAATGCAAAAGAGTATCCTCCAAGGCTCCACTATTCTACTAATACTTGGAAACTGACTAAGCAACTGCATGGTATAGCATCAAAATGTACTCAATCTATGAACCACAACTAGCAATAGTATGTTTAAATACGCCTAAATGTCTTAAGTGCACTAAATAATCGATTGTTCTTATGCTTATGCATATGGGGATACTTAACTAGTTAATAATTCCTATGACAGAGAAAAGAACTTGGTTTACTCCCTGAGACACATGTTTTTCAGAACTTATGTAACATTACCCTTAACGGTTTCTTGGGATTAGAGGAAAACAAGAAGGGGGGGAAATTAACAAAAAAGAAACAACCTCTCACTGAGAAGTGCATGCTTAGACTTTACTACAATAGCTAATAAATCTTATATCCCAAAAGGTGGCCTCCCAACACTACAAACACATAAAAAGAAACAGGAACTCAAGAAACTTGTGTAGTAGAAGGCACCAGAGTTAGCAAAGAACCATAAGATTTATGAACATGTGTTGTAGATATTCAACATACCTCACAATACTTGGTCCAATCTACCAAGTCCTCAATGAGCAAAAAGAGCAAAGAAAGACACCGCAGAGATCAAAACAAAAGCAACATCATCCGGAACGATCCCCGACGCCCCGCTCACCATAGGCGGAGAAGGAGCCAGGCTGGGCTCCTGTGCGCTGGACCGGAACGATCCCCGACGCCCCGCTCACCATAGGCGGAGAAGGAGCCAGGCTGGGCTCCTGTGCGCTGGACAGGGCCAACACCACAAAGAACAACAACCATAGGCGGAGAAGGAGCCAGGCTGGGCTCCTGTGCGCTGGACAGGGCCAACACCACAAAGAACAACAACACTAGAAGCAAAGGGGCCTTCATTGAAATCTCCACTGAAGTAGTTTGTGTTGATGTACGTCTGGAGGGTGTTTATATGAAAAATACCGTGAGAATAAAATCTTGCTTGCTAAAGCTTCACGCTTGGAGTAGCCATTAAGTGTGTACATGTGTCGAGATGCATTTGGGTGAGGGTGAAGGATGGTCCAACAGACCCTCGAAGAAATAGTACAGGCTCACTTTTGCTTGGCAAAAGACAAAGGTGAAGACGAGGGTACAGCTGTGTTATGATTAGAATAGGAGTCTGAGTTAGCTAATTTATATTAATCTGTAATCATTACATTAATGGGGGTTAATGGAAACATATAAAACTGTATCATCCCGAACACAGTCGACAGTGAAATTGATGATGCTGTTTAATATATGTAATTCTGTCTATCTGGACCTCTAGAAGCTTCTCTATTACAATTTTCTTTTAATCTATGACACGCCTTGTTAAAGAAAATTCCTACATTATTATTTGGGTTGAGTAAATTGAAATTTCAAAGGTGGTTCCTATAGAATTACTCTGAAATTCAAAGGTGAGCATTAGAATAGCATCCTCATTTCCATGTTGATATGCAATTTGTACCTAAAGAGGCTTTAAGAAGTCAACTGAGAACATTAGAATAGCATCCTCCATGTGAGCTCCGACTAGCAGCTCATCACTAAGGTTCCACATTGGTAGTAAAAGGTTCCACGTTCAGGCCTAGACAAGGACCTAGACTCAAAGGAACAGTAATAATATAAATAAATCCTATGCTTTTGGTACGCATATATACTTAGCTCCTACTAAAGAATATGAGAGATGATGATCACTCATGAACATATAATCGTCAAGTGAATAATATAATGAAGCCTATGCCATGATTGACAATAAAAATTAGTCTATATTTGACTATTGTTGCTCCTCATTTCCATGTTTAAGGCAATTTGTCTATAATCGAACTTTTTCCAGTGAAAATTTCAACATAACCTCAACAACAGTGCGACTAATACAGTACCCATCCGAAACCTACCCAACACCCGTGTTCAATGATATTAACATGTCAATTAATTGAAAAGGTTATATTACAATAAACTATCCACCGAAAAACACAACAAAAAAACAACAAAAAAACAACTGATATAGATCAACATTCTCTAAATAATTCATAAGCTTAATCCAGAGACCATGGAAAATTGAGGCAATGCTCATACATGAGCTAACTATCTTCCTACTCTATTAAAATAGAACAAGCGATCTAATTCTTACTTGGTCTGAGCAATTCACTGTAATACTAAGTGTGTCCCTTCAACAAGTGTAAAATCTGCAAAAAAATAAATTGCAAAAAGAGAATTATACTAATTTATGAATCCTGGTAAAAAAAATATAGAACAACAAAGAAATTAATTCAGAAAAAGGCATCATCTTTCACGCATACAGATAAAGATATCCATTACCAATCGAACCAAAGTTGGTATATAGAAGAAGAAATAAAAAGGTGAAAGCTCGAACCCCAAAATCTCAATTTTGTTCTAGGGTTAGGGTTTCGGCGGAAGTGGAGGGGGATTGAGAGGGAGCTCGGTAGAGAAATCAATCGAGAGAACAAAGTTTGAATCTAGGATCTAGGGGACGGTGGAACTAGAGATAGAGGATCGCGAGGATCTCACCGTTGTCGATGATTTTCGTCATTGTCGGAGGTGAGATTAGGGCTTGCAAGCCGTCATCGGTGATCGTCGTCATCGCCGGTTGGATCATCGTCGTCGTCGTCGCCGCCAGTTGGATTCTAGGAGTTAGGATTTTGGTGTCACGCCTCAGGCCTGGGCCCATTGGCGCGTGCAAGTCATGTGACCCACCGAGTGTAACATGCTATTTGGCTCGACCGGCGTGGTCACGGCGGTCGACCGCATCGTGCACGGACCCCAACTGTGTCTCGGGACTGAGATCGGTCGACCGATGGTGGCACTGCGGTCGACCGGAGAACCCTGTAATCGATTTTCCAGATTTCGTCGTTCTGACCGGTCGACCGACTTGGGCACTGCGGTCGACCGCGTCGCGGATCCGGGCCTGGGTCTGTTTCCTGCTCCAGTTGGGATTTCTGTTTAGTATAAATAGAAACACGACTTTTCTAGGGTTTAGAACTCAGTTTGTAATCAGAAAAGAGATCAGGGAGGTTGTTCTTTGATCTAGAGAGATTGTGAGAGAGAGATTTGTAAAATCCAATTGATTCTCATAATCTAGAGAAGGTATTTTCCTTCGCCCTAATTCAACTCTTGTGTTCTTCTGTCGTTCTTCTTCTTTACCCACTCTTGATAATTCCGCGATCAAGAGTGCTCGCACGGCAACTCGTATCAAGTTGGTATCAGAGCACCTAGATCCTGTGAAGGGGGAACCTGTGTATGGTCCTTACTCGCTCACAGTACAAGAAGCTTGGCGAGATCCTTATTTCTTTGGAGGGAGTCCAGAAATTAAGGAAGGAGAAGATGACTGAAGCAGATAATTCAGCGAGACTTGATGCCATGGAGAGACAGATTGAGACGATCGGGACGACTCTTACCCAACTCGTGGGTCTAATCAACGGAGGTGACAAAAAGGAGGAATCTTCTTCGAAGGGCAAGAAGAAACTCGTCGAATCCGACGAGGAACACGAGGAATCTGATTCAGAGGGGGAGACTGAGATTGTCAAGACTGCTGGACATCAAAGGGGTAAGAACAATTACCAAAATCTGAAGATTGACTTCAAGGTTGAGATTCCTGTTTATGATGGGAGTATCAACGTGGAGAAGCTTGATGATTGGATCGAACGTATGGAGATGTACTTCACTCTCTACGGATATTCGTCCAAGGAGAAGATAGTGTTCGCGACATTGAAGCTTTCCGGGCACGCTTTGACGTGGTGGAAATCCTATTGTAAACAGGAGAAGAAAGCGGCGTCGTGGAACAAGTTCAAGGAGCTACTACGGAAACAGTTCTATCCAGTGGGGTTCCTTGAGGAGCGTTGGTACAAGTGGTACGACTTACGTCAGAAGTTTAATCAGACCGTTCAAGAGTACACGACGGAGTTCCAGCAACAGACGATGGTCCTAAACATCGCAACGTCCGAGTACCCCACCTTCATGAAGTACATGACGGGTCTGAATGATTATATCCGGAAGGAGATGAAGCTGTTTTCAGTGGAGACAATCGCGGAGGCGAGTGTGAAGGCCATTGCCATTGAGGGCCGGCAGAAGAAGGGCAACGAGACAAAGGGGGATTCCAAACCATCGGGGAGCAAGACGGGTGGCCCTCAGTCTAAGGATGAGAAGAAGAAGGTTGACTCGGGGAAAGCAGGATTGACATGTAATCACTGCAAGCAGACAGGACATGTGGCTGATCGTTGCTGGGATAAGTATCCTCATCTGAAGCCAAAAGGGTTGAAGAAGAAGGAGGAGAAGAAGGCGTACGTAATAGCACAGGGTTCGAAGGAGGTTCCCGGGATGACCGAACCCAATAGCAGTCTCAACCTTATGGCGGGAAAACAGGCCACCAAAGAAGATGACGACCCGAGGGAGCAGCTCTTTGTTCTAAAATTGCAGGTCAAGACCAGCTTAGTGGATGCTATTGTAGATCCAGGAAGTCAGAAAAATCTGATATCTGAGGCATTAGTACAGAAGCTGGGATTGAAGACGGTGAAGCATCCGAAGCCCTATCCATTAGGGTGGATTCAGAAGGAGGCGGGATTGAGTGTGGTGAACCAGTGTTCATTCAGATTTGCACTCCACGAGTCGTATATTGACGAGGTCACATGCGACGTGGTTCCGTTGGATATTTGCCAATTTATTTTGGACAACCCTTATTTGTGGGATAGATACGCAGTATATGATCGGCGAGCCCAAAAGTATACGTTCACCAAGAATGGCGAGCAATTCATTTTTCGTTCGGCATCTCTTCCACAGGAGACGAGCTTGGTGACAGTAACTCAGGCTAAGAGGTTGGTGAACGCGGGCAGGAAGTTCGTTTTATTGTTCATTCGGCCGTATGAAGAACAGCTGAGTAGGATGTGCTTGTCCACCTTGAGCAAGCTTCAGGAGGGAGATCTTGAAAGGTTAAAGGCCAAGTATGCGGACTTATTTTCGGAGATCACGGGGCTACCACCGCGTAGAGGTGTAGAGCATGAGATTATGTTGACCGGGGAGAGTTCCTTACCTAACATAGGCCTATACCGCACATCAGTACTGGAGTCCGAGGAGATCAAGAAGCAAGTTCAGGAGCTCTTGGAGACGGGAGTGATTGTGCCGAGTTGTTCGCCTTGTGGATCACCAGTGTTGTTGGTGCTCAAAAAGGATGGAGGCTGGCGCATGTGCGTAGATTATCGGGCACTCAACAAGATTACCATCAAGAATCGTTACCCATTACCGCGGAACGATGATCTTATGGACCAGTTGGAGGGAGCGAGGTTTTTCACGGAGCTGGATTTGAAGTCTGGTTACCATCAGGTGAGGATTCGGGAGGAAGACACCTGGAAGACTGCGTTCATCGCTACCCATTACCGCGGATCGATGATCTTATGGACCAGTTGGAGGGAGCGAGGTTTTTCACGAAGCTGGATTTGAAGTCTGGTTACCATCAGGTGAGGATTCGGGAGGAAGACACCTGGAAGACTGCGTTCAAGACCAAACAAGGCCTGTTCGAGTGGTTGGTGATGCCGTTTGGATTGTGCAATGCTCCGGCTACCTTTATGAGGCTTATGAATGATTTGTTGTGACCCTTTATAGAGGATTTTGTGATAGTTTACCTTGATGATATCTTGGTGTACAGCAGGACTTGGGAGGAGCATCTCGTTCATGTTGAGAAGGTATTTGAAGTGTTGCAGGACGGACAGCTGAAGCTCAACGGGAAAAAGTGCGAGTTCGGGAAAGGCCGAGTTGGGTATCTCGGCTTCATCGTAGGGAAGGGCCAGCGGAGGATAGATCCAGGCAAGGTGGAGGTGATCACAAAGTGGCCGACGCCGAAGACAGTGACTGAGGTGAGGAGCTTCATGGGGGCTTGCCAGTATTTGCGCAAGTTCATTCGACATTTTTCGACTTATGCGGCACCGTTACATGGCCTCACAAAGGCTAAAGTTCAGTTTGAGTGGGGAAGGACGCATGAGGAGGCCTTTCAGTTGCTAAAAAGGAAGATCTCGGAGGCACCGGTGTTGGCGTTGCCGAATTTGCAGCGGACTTTCGAGGTAGAGACCGACGCGTCTAATTATGCGATGGGCGCGGTGTTGATTCAGGATGGGAAACCGGTGGAATACTATTCTGAGAAGTTTTCGGGTGCTGTTGCGAACTACCCAACCTACGACAAGGAGTTCTATGCACTATATCAAGCAATTAAGCATTGGAGGGTGTACTTGTTAGGGAAGGAGGTGGTCGTGCATTCGGATCATAAGCCGTTGGAGTTCTTACATGCCCAGACAAAGCTACAGCAGGCACGACACATGAAGTGGATGTCCTATTTGATGGCTTTCAACATCATTATTAGGTACAAGAAGGGGGCGACGAACAAGTTGGCCGATATGTTATCTCGCCCACCGATAAGGTCGTTGTTGGTGGCGACGCGTATTCAGCCCTTGGTTCCTTTGGAATATGTACAGCTGTATGCATCTAGTAGGGACTTCGGTAGTGTGTTTGAGCAGGCGAAGGCTGGTCGAAGGGGGGAGTATGCACTTGGAGAAGATGGCTTGTTGTATCGTGGGACATCACTATGCATTCCGGAAGATGGTGATAGGTTGCAGTGGATTCGGGAAGCGCACACCTCGCGTGTGCAAGGGCATTTTGGCATTCAGAAAACGCTTCTCAATCTACGGCGACATGTGTTTTGGCCACGGATGCTTGATGATGTGACCAAGTATGTTGGAGGGTGTAAGTTATGCTGTATTTCGAAGCCTTCTAACAGAAAGAGGGGATTGTACCTACCATTACCGGTTCCTTCTAGGCCGTGGGAGAGCATTTCTATGGATTTTCTAGGAGGGTTGCCAACTACGAAGCGCGGGCATGACTATTTGTACGTTGTGGTGGACCGATTCAGCAAGATGGTGATATTGATTCCTTGTAAGAAGACCGTGACGGGAGCGGGTGCAGCACAATTATCAGCACAATTGTTCTTTGAACATGTGTGGAAGCACTTTGGGTTGCCGAGTTCGATTATTTCGGATCGGGATAGCCGTTTTCTCGGACATTTTTGGGATTCTTTATGGAGTTTGATGGACACTAAATTGAAGAAGAGCACGGCCTTTCATCCACAAACAGACGGACAAACGGAGGTAGTCAACCGGACTATGGTGCACATGTTGCGGGGGTATAATTCTAGGCATCCTAAGACTTGGGATGAGAGTTTACCATATTTGCAGTTTGCTTTCAATCGGGCGATTCATGGATCTTCAGGGAAGTCACCGTTTGAGACTTGTTATGGATTTTTACCGCCGAGCCCGTTCGATCTTGTGTTTTCAAGTGAAGCCACAGTGGACGGCAAGGAAGGGAGTGAAAGACAACGTGCTCAGCGATTTCTCGAGAAGATTGCAAACATTCATGCCACGGTTGAAGCTCAATTGAAGAAATCACAAGCTAAGTACAAGGCGAAGCATGACCAGCATCGGGTTCCTTGTAACTTTAGTAAAGGCGATATGGTATGGCTAAAATTGAGTAAGGAGAGGCTCAAAGGAGAAGGGAAGAAGTTGAAGCCTATTCGTTATGGTCCGTTTCGGATTATCGATCAGATTGGCGACAACGCTTTTCGTTTAGATTTGCCACCTTACTTAGGCATGTATTCGGTGATCAATGCCGAGTACTTGAAGTTGTTTGAGCCTCCGTTATTGGATGATGAAGGTGATGACAAGTTGATCTTACCGCATGTTGAGGACTTGTGGTTTGATAGAGAGGAGCCACTGAAGGAAGATTACATTTTGGAACGGAAGACGACCACGACGAGACGGGGGACGAATGAGTCGTTTCTCATTGGACGTCAAGGTCAGGTCCCTAGCAAGGCCAAGTGGTTCAACAGAGAAGGAGGGGCTCGCGAGTTCCCTCAGCTGAAGTTCTAACTTGAATGGGACTTCAAGTTCCTAAAGGGGGGACCCATGATACGGGTGTATCTTCATACGGGTGTATCTTCTCTTCGGGAGCTTAGCGATCCTCATGGGAGCTTGAGGATAGATGATTCTCATGGTATCTTGAGAATAGAGTAGAGGAGTCGTGGAAGAGGCCATTGGAAGCAACGAAGTCGAAGGATTCGTCAAAACTGCAGGAATTACAGTTGGGCTCTGACCGGTCGACCGGCTTGGTCGCGGCGGTCGACCGATTAGTGCACAGACCCAGACTATGTCTCGGGACTGAGAGCGGTCGACCGAAGGTGGCGCTGCGGTCGACCGGAAAACCCTGTAATCGATTTCCCAGATTTCGACGTTCTGACCGGTCGACCGCCTTGGGCACTGCGGTCGACCGCGTAGCGGTTACGGGCCTGGGTCTGTTTCCTGCTCCAGTTGGGATTTCTGTTTAGTATAAATAGAAACACGACTTGTCTAGGGTTTAGAACTCAGTTTGTAATCATAAAAGAGATCAGGGAGGTTGTTCTTTGATCTAGAGAGATTGTGAGAGAGAGATTTGTAAAAATCCAATTGATTCTCATAATCTAGAGAAGGTATTTTCCTTCGCCCTAATTCAACTCTTGTGTTCTTCTGTCGTTTTCTTCTTTACCCACTCTTGATAATTCCGCGATCAAGAGTGCTCGCACGGCGACTCGTATCAGCGGGACTAATATTTTTTTGGGAATGTCGGTGGGATATCACATTTACCCCACCTTACAAAGGCGACGTCTTCGTTGCGGCATGACAATTAGCATATCCCAGTATCATCGTCAGGCGATGTGGACTCTAGAGGTGGCTCCTACGGGCTCTAGGGGTGGTTCACACCGCATCCACATGGTGTAGCACTTAGCCCCGCATAGCACTTAACTCCACACTTCCGGCTGACAACTGCTCTGATACCATTTGTCACGCCCCAGGTCCGCGGGCCTGTTGGCGCGTGCAAGTTGTGGGACCCACCGAGTGTAATGTACTATTTGGCTCAAACCACTGCTAAAATCGACTAGCCGATGTTACACTTGAGTATTTAGCTTCACCATATAAACCCTTTAAATTCCCTCATTCTCACCGACGTGGGACTAATATTTTTTGGGAATGTCGGTGGGGTATCACATTTGGTGGACTGGAGAGAGAGCGATTAAGAGCAGGGGGAGGGTGTGTGTTAGGGTCGAGAGAAGAAACAAGCGGAATTGTAAATGACATGATATATTTAGAAGGACAATTTTTGAAAAGCAACCCATTTTCAAAAATAATTGTGAAAACCGACCTCTTTGAAACTAATTTGTCAAAAGTGATCCAGTTTCAGCAAAAAAAGACCAAACTTTACGGGACTTCAAGCTCCGTGAAGTTTTGTTATGTAAAAACTTCACGGGACTTAAAGTCCCGTGAAGTTTGGTATTTTTTACACCAAAAACAACCTAGTTACAACCAGTTTCAGCCAACTGGGTCACTTTTGGCAAATAAGCTTCAAATATGTCGTTTTTGATGAATAAGTTTGGAAAGGGGTTGGTTTTCAAAATTTGTCCTATTTAGAATTCTCGGTCTATTATGACTTTAAAATGTTAATGGATACGGGCCAATATTCAATTTTCAAAGTCTTTCGAATTTAAACAATAGAATTGGGCCAATTATAGCATTTGAAATGAAATACTTCATATGCGCACTGAAACTGTGAGTCCATATTTAAGTGTTACAGCAACAACCTAAAGATGCTCTGATATCTGTCATCTAGCAATATCATGGCACTCAATACTCTTATGATTAGTAACTACCAACTAATGATGTTTGGCTGCATGTAAGTTTTAATAAATCCATGAAGAAGACTTACAAAAAGAATACAGAGAACACCCTACGAAAAGAATATTTAGAATAGTGTAGTTAGTCATCACTAAACTGGTATTCTAATGTTTTGATCATCTTTTGAGAAAAAGAAACTGTTATTCAAAGAGATGGAGGTTGCATATATGCTTCTATTAGTACAAATAGAATCGTTTGTTAAAAATTTCCAAATTAAAAAACTACCAAACAACGTTATCTACTTCCTGTCTGATGATAAACAATTTTCAACAGTATTGTTCAGCTTCTTCAAATCTTTCCCCAAAACACCACAAGTTAAGACTCCAAGCATAATTCACTAGGACTATAGTTTTGACATGCTATCCAAACCCCACAATTTTGACGGACCTTTGGTTCAATTGCTCCTGTGCTTTCAGATTGAAACAACTTTTAGATCTAATTATACAAAGCTACCATGAAATTCAATAGCTTTAAGAAACTAGTACATCTGCATAATCATCTAAGTACAGATCATGAAACAGAGGGAAACTAGTGAACACATTTTCTTGTTTCCTAGCAAAATGGGAATATTTCTCATTGCTTGAAATGAAACAATCAATCAAATATCTAGTACAGCTAACATGAGAAATTAAATGTAGTTCCTCAAATCTATGCCTTCAGTTAAAGCTTTTCGATCAGACCAAATACTTGTAGCAGACTATCCTTCTTAATTTTATAGTCTCTTTGAAACTTATATCATTTATAGGAAAAAAATGAACTTCAGAAGTAAACTTCGCATCACTAGTAAAAATAACATCTGACATCCACAAAAACCATGGTACAATCACTGATTATGACAATGTTAAGCACACAGTGACCACATCATTAAGGTTTCACAATGACATGACAAAAATAATTTTCCCCACTTGCAGATAGATGAGCATACAGATGCATACTGACACAAGTTACACTAAAATATGAGGCAGCAATCTGGCAAGTACACACAAAAGTAGAACAATTAAAAATTCCGATGATAAAATTTAATCAAAAAAACACTCACGGTGATACGATTCAAAGCTCTTTCACGACTTGAATACCCATGCTATTGGCAGTACCAATAATAGACTTGCATATAGCCTCAATCGACATGTGCTGACTACCTGGGTCAGTTTGCTTCAGCTTCGCAATCTCATAAACATGCTTAAGAGTTATACTGGATACAACAATGTGACCAGGCCGAGTGCTTCCTGACTCAATTCCAGCAGCTTTTTTAAGATACCAAGTGACTGAAGGAGACTTGACGGTGAACTCAAAAGTGTTGTCTTTGAACGCTGTGATCGTGACTGCCATTGGTGCATCAGGCTTGTACTTCTGAGTCCTGGCGTTGAAATCCTTGCAAAATGCCATTAGGTTTAGACGATACTGACCGAGGGCGGGTCCCACTGGTGGGGCTGGTCGAGCAGCTCCAGCTGGGACAGTGAGCCGGATTGTGGCCGAGACAGGGCGACGAATTGCAACGTCTTTCAAGATTGACATGATCTCTGCAAGAACAAAACAAAGTTAACGAAATTAGGGGCTGTTTGGTTCGTTTCTCATGTATTGGGAAATACAATTCTATGTAAAGAAACCCAAAATTTGGGTTTTCCAAACTTTTCCAAGAAATAGATTATTTGGATTTGTTTCACACATAAAACATGATGGGAAACCAATGTATACATTTTTCTTGTGTTTGGTTGGCATCAAAAAAAGGGAAAAACTTTTAGTGATTAGACATTTCCCACTTTTCTTATGTTTGGTTGGTATTAAGAAAAGTGTATATGGTAACCATGGTAAGTTTACCACTCAGTAAAGACAAATTTGTTTGTGATCGTTAATGGAGGTAATCTTACCAAATATAAAAGTGCAAATATAACATGAAAAACCAGTAAGTAGCCGAATTTATCATAAATATCTGATTGACATAAAAAAAATCAGACAAAACATGTAATAACATGATTATTTTAACTGTTATGAACTATGTACCTGATTTGACAAGAAAAATACCGGTTTGACAGGAAAAAATCACACGAAACCTATAATAACATGATTATTCATTAATTTTATGAAATACGCACCTGAATTAACGAAAATTTCTTATGAGCCTTGTAAAACCTATAATCAACCTGCTTAGTCATAAATATTTATGTGACATGGAAAATTACATCAAACCTAGAAAAACCATACATGTAGATAACTAGGGACTGTACTACAAGAAACAAAACCAATTAGGTTTCAAAACCATGAGCGCTACAAAACCATTGGCAAAATTAGCAAAAAATTTACTGATCCAAATTAATATTGTTAGATTCAACATCCAACCAAGGTTTTAAATGTCGGTTATCGGGAATTTATCGGACGGTCAAAATTCTTATCGGATAGCGAAAATCGGGGATATATCGGGGATAAATAGTATTTATCGGAGTAATATACTAGCAAATAATAAACAAACATAAGCTTAAAAAATAATATAATGTTAGTCAAAATGGAATAATAAACTAGCAAATAATAAGATAACATTAAGAATGAAGAACCATCTACGCATCTATATAATTATTGTTTAATCATGAGATTCATAAACTAACTTACTAAGTTGATATTTAGTAGTTACTAGTTTGCGGTCCGTGCTTTGCACGATAATTTTTTTGCTACAGTAATCCCGCTTTTTAATATGCATGATTTGAATTTTTGAAGGTGCTACAGTATCCCGCTCTGCTACAGTACCTTTTGAATGTTACAGTATACCCATGTGCTACAGTAACATTTTTAATTAATTATTAACTACACTAATAATGCTACAGTAAATGCTACTGTATCATTTACTGTAGCATGAACAGTGAATCTCTGATCCTTCTATTTGTATAAAGGAATAGATGAGCCATTATCAATATCCATAAACAAACATAAGCTAATCACCAATCAACCAAGTTCCAAAAGCAACAAATAGTTCATAATTTGTAAGCATTCAAAGAGCAAATCCAAAAGAAAGTAAAAGCTCCCAAATCCTACTTATCGGCCGATAAAGCCGATATTTAGAGCCTACTTATCGGCCGATAAGTACCGTTATCGCCGATAAACCTCAAAAAACGATAACCGATTAAAAATCCTACTTATCCTAGCGGAAAGCTCCCAAATCCGATAACTCGGCGATAATATCGGATTATCGGCCGATATTTAAAACCACGCATCCAACTACCAAGTAAATGCACCATTCCATATACATCTATAAAACGCAATGTTTGCATACAAAATGTTAACTAGGAAAAAATATGAGTAAGAAAAATAAAGATATTGGTGAATCTTCATCTGCATCATCATCAAAGATTAGAATATTTAAAAATTCTATGATTAAAATAGAGATGTTTATTGTAAAATGTCAATTTACTATATTTTTTATCAGCGAGGAAAGATTAGTAAACCTAAACGAACCTTTGAAGAATGGATTGCCTATATGGATGCAGATCGAGAGTAAGATGAGATGTGGGATATCATGAAATTAGCAGAAATTATGCTAAGAGCTAATGTTGTAAAAGTTATAGACGGAAACGAAAATTTAAAGTATCTTTACTGCAAAGATACACCCAACATGTAGTGGAGCAAAAATCAACTCTTAACACATGCACATGTTGGTTACAATGAAACTATTGGCAATCTGAGTAAGGATTGTATTGGAGAGCATCGTGGACTAGAAATCTATTTACAATCGCTAAAAAGAAAGCAATGACATGTACTACTTAGCTATTATAATGTACTACTATGCTATTTTGCATGTTTTAATTTGAATGAACTTCATGACTAAAAAATCATGTGAAAATATTTGTTGATATCACATAAAATATATCAGCCACATGTTTATGAATTCTATTGCTGATGGCTCAAAACTTAGTCAATATCATCATTGTTAGACATCTAATGAAATATCAATAAATATTGCATGTTACTAATCTCGGAATATTTGACAATCATTGTAGCCTAAAAGTAAAAAAGTCACAAACTCATGACATAACAACATTTTCATTAATAACCCACAGCAATAGCCATCCAATACAACGTAGATACATTATAGGTTGCTTACATGCAATTTTTTTTAGTTTTCATGTATATGGTGACTTATAAAGTTCATGTAAACACAAGTTCAATGTAAAATTAGTATTCTACAATCATCACATAATGTTGGTAAATATGCACATGGAACCATAGGTTTATAGTTGAAGCACAACTAAAATCAAAGTCATATAAATAATTAATACCTATTACAATAATATGTTCCACCATCATAATATTCCACATGCACATAAAATAACATCAACATATAGTACAAAATCAAATGAAACTTCCCTAAATTAAGCAAGACTTGTCTTGCACCAAAAGTAAGTGGATTTAACAAGTATGTTAGAAGTGAGAATCACAAAATACCACATGAGCCCATATTCATATTGTTCTTCAACCCTCATTACCGAGGAAGGCATTAATCATATCTTTTTAACTAATCGAAGATATGCCCATAAAAAGTCTTGATTCATTCTCGCTCAAAAAGAGATGACGGTAATATGAATCTAGCTTATCAATACTAAAGTCTTGTGAATGAGTATATAAGACCGTGGATAACTTCTCGATCCAATGCATATTAGCACACTTCATATTTGCGCTAAATACATTTAGTTTATCCACCAAGTTTTGCATGAGCTCATTATCTAGATTAGTTCTACGAGCTTTTTCCTTGGAAGAGCATGATTTTGTCTTAGATGTTGATGAGGCGGGTGCTTCCTTAGGCAGAGGAGTGTCCTCATCATCTGAAGCGTGCACTTGAGGGGATTGAGAGGTAGGCAAAGGTGAGTCACAATCATCTCTAAGGTTGATGGACTCGCTACGACTAAACTTTTTGTTAATGTCGTGTGCAAAGTCCCCTCTAGCTTGATCATCCCCGATGATGAGTGCAAGATCATCATAATGCTCTAAGTGTCTATTGACATACTGCTTAAGGTTAGATTTTCTAAAACCCTTGTTCTGAAAAGTATATGTGAATTAATTATTTGTAAATGAGAGAATGAGAAAAGTAGATAATGAAAATGCAACAATAGGTTTATTTACCCCAATCCACATATCCAAACACTCCGGATCCATGATGACAGTCTTGGTGCTATCATCCCATCCGGCACTACTAAGATTACAATAAGTTTTCATAGCACAGAATCTTGTACGTAAAGTTTTGATACAGTTCATGACATTCTCTCACTTAAATATAGTGTTAAACTTATCGTTTATATGTTTACCAGCCATACAATAAGTGATTCTATTAAAGGTTTTGTCGGGTTTGTAACACTTTTTTATCAAGTCGGCAAGTAATGAAATGAGCTCATCGTCATAACGGGAATCCCAAAATAAATGTTTGCTCACTCATGAACCGCTAGCCTCACTATCATTTTTCTTTGTTGTGTTCTTCCTCTTCTTCTTTGGGTTTGGTGAGGTTGCTTCCCCTACTTCTATGATCACCCGTTTAGAACCTGACTCGAGAGTTGAGCCATAATCATTAGTGGGAGAAAGTTGTAATCCACTAATATTAGGGCTATAAAATTATGGAGGCAAATTAGGAGAATTTAGTATGTTTGTAAATGACCCTAGTTGGTGGTGCATCGGGAACTAATTGCCATCATGGAATGACATGTTAAAAAATGCATGATGTGATTGTGCAAAGAATGACTGCTGAAATGAAAAATACCCACTACCGCCTTGATGCATAGACTGAGGAGGTTGAGGTGGTGAATGTTGAGATAGAACTACTCCCTTGCCTGTATAATTATCTCTCCCACTTAATGATATGTTATCAGTCATTACTAATTCAATAGAGAAAGTTAGATACAATATAATTACCTTGGATTCTCCTTATGAATGTAAATATTATAATAAATACATATAATGCAACCCCTTGAATTATGTTAACAACACTTTGTTCATCCGTACAATCCTCATCACCATCCATCTATGATACAAACACCAAATTGAAATAAGTAATATGGCTAGCAAGTACGACAAATAGATATAAATAGTAAAATCTAAATTATAATACGTAGTAACTAGTCACCACAACCAACCATGATTTATGGCTTCCATGGAAATAGATCATACAGAGGTAATCAAATTAGAAATAAATAATGTCAATTTACTCATTTTTAACAAACCAAGCAGTTCAAATATCATTCACAAACTCATAATTAAGAAATAGCAAAAAACACCAAACAAAATTATAATCCTACTATTATCGTTTCACTACCTCAAATCATACAAAATTAAAACTAAAATAAATACTAGTTACATGATGATGCATTGGGGCTTTAATCAAATTTTTAATCATGTATAGAAATAATCAGACAACTAATTATGTGAGGATTTAGACTTGATCACCCATTTGAATTTTTAATCATGTATAGAAATAATCAGACAACTAATTATGTGAGGATTTAGACTTGATCACCCATTTGTCTCAAGTTTTACAAATTGGTGAGAT